CCACATTCCCATCCCCAGACACCCCGTTCCCATCCCCAGACACCACATTCCCACTCCCAGGAGGCACATTCCCATCCCCAGACACCCCGTTCCCATCCCCAGACACCACATTCCCATCCCCAGACACCACGTTCCCATCTCCAGGAGCCACATTCCCATCCCCAGACACCCCGTTCCCATCCCCAGACACCACATTCCCATCCCCAGACACCCCGTTCCCATCTCCAGGCCTCCTCTTTCAGCCACTGCTGAGGCTACGCCCGCCAGCAGCGCCGTGGCTGGGCAGGCTGATAAAGCCGGGGTGTTGGTCAGACTTTCTGCTAACGGAAGGATGAGATAACAGCGGGAACTCCCCTCACTGTGAGGGTTATGATGATGTTTTCCCTTTCTCTGATCTGATGGGCAGCCAACAGAGGCTCCCCCTGGCCAGGGCTGCGCTCCGGCTGCAAACCCAGTGAGCTGGGAATTCCACCATCATGAGACGGGCAAGGCGAGGGTTAGCCCGGCAGCCACAGCCCAGGAGGGTTACGGCTGCGGGACCGCCTGGCCCAGGCAGGGCTGACAGGCCCAGCTGCGTTTAAAAGGTGCGCTGGAACGGGTGGGACTCGCTGCACAGGGCAGGGGAAGGTGCCCCACCACGACACGGTGCCACCATTCCCAGGGAGTCCGCGCAGGAGGATTCCTGCAGGATGTGGGCACTGCTGGCAATGACCTCAGTAAAAGTTATCTTAAAAAATACCCAGAGAAATCTCTCTGATCGACGACCAAGCCTCCAAGTAAACAGGAACACGAGGGCTCGCAGGACCAGCCTCAGAGTCCCTCATTGTCCCCTTTGGCAGCAGGCCACTGGCTTGCCTTGTATGGGAGGAAATGACTTTCTGGTACATTGCAGTTAATTTTTGCCAGTTGGCTTTAACACGAGCCTTATTTTATTAGGAGTAGCAAAATGAACCAGCAACATTCAGCAGAGGGGTTTAAGCTCCGAAGGGGGCAAACCCAGTTTTTTTTTTTTCAGAGTAGCTAAGGGACATGTCCATGAAGAAAAACTGCCTTTAACATCGGTGCGTTTTTTGCATCTCTCTGATCTCCCCTGCTCCCTCACTGACCACTGCTCAGTTTCTCCAGCCCAGCTTCATGCCAGAGAGCTTCTGGTGCTCTGCCGTGGGGCGAGCAGCCCATGGGGCACCGCACCATCACCCCTCTTCTCGGTGTGCCCCGAAGGAGCCCCCCCCTGAAATGCCCAGCTCTGGGGCTGCGGGGAGGTGGGCACACGCTGTGGAGGACAAGACGCGTGGTGGGGGCACTAAAGGAGCCAGGAGAGTAGCTGATGGCAGGGACGGGCCTGTCTGCGAGGCCCAGAGCATCCTCCTACTGCCCTGTCTGGGTCAAACACATGCCCACCGCTGCACCAGCAAGCGGGTCAGAGAATCATCGAATCATTCAGGTTGGAAAAAAGACCTTTAAGACCCTCGAGTCCAACCGTAACGGGGTCCCTCCTTTGCAGGGTGAATTCTGGCCCTTTTGACTTCACCGAGACCTACCCGGGAGGGAAGAGCAGGTCCCGGCACCCGAGGGGTCCCCGGATCTCCCCCCTCCGAGCCCCCCCACTGCCTGCAGCAGCAGCTCCAGTAGGTCTTGGCAGAGCAGCTGGGAGATGAGCGGAGAGGTCCCCCCTTGCTGATCTGCATTTGTTTTAAGGTCTCTTTCATGTACTCTTTGAGGCTCGTTTCCTGTTCTTTGTAAAAAACAATGCTTCCCCCCCCATCCCCGCCCGTCCCAGGGTGGCTTTATCTCCCCTCCTGTGGGCTGCACTCCCTCGAGAGCTGAGCTTTATGTTTGTCTTAAAGTACAAAACCCTGCTCTGATTTAACCGAATTGATTTTAAAGCTGCGTCTGGTATTTGGTGTCTGCTAGATGCATTTAAACCGATCTAGATCTTCTATGTTTGGGCAGATTAACGTGAAGCTGGTAATTTTCTGTGCAAGTGACAGCGACTGGAAGGCTGGACTGTAAATGCTGACATGGATTGAAATTCAGGTCTGGAGCTTTTCACGCAAGCTGGAGCACAGATGCTCAGAATAACATATTATCTGTCTATTATACAACACAGTATTATCTGCTTGTGTTTTGCACTGCTTTAACTACTTCATTCCTAGCCCAGTGCCTTCTGAGAGTGAATCCTGCATAAATGGGCCGTTACTGGTGTCTGCGCCGCAAGGACCTTCTCACCACGCTGAACTTTCTTGTCCTCAAAACAGGGACAATATTGCTCCGGATGTCCCGGTGGCTGTAGATCCTGCTGGGATCCTGCTGGGACGTACTGGGATCTGGCTGCAGGACTGCGATGGGGGACACCAAATCAGTTGCAGCAGCTTCTTGGGTGGGAGCCAGGAGCTGCGCAAGCCCCCAGCGAGAGCTGGTCCCTGCATGGCTGAGCTGGTCCACCAAGGTGACTTGCTCCAGAGACCTTTGGGGCGGTTTGGGGATCATAGAATCGTAGCCTGGTTTGCGTTGGAAGGGATTTTAAAGATCGTCTAATTGCAACCCCCCTGCCAGGGGTAGGGCCACCTTCCACTAGCCCAGGTTGCCCAAAGCCCCGTCCAACTTGGCCTTGGACCCTTCCAAGGAGGGGGCAGCCACAGCTTCTCAGCTGGATGTCTGGTGGGCTCCCGTAGCTGGAAGATGTGATCGGGCAATTTCACTGAAGATTTACAAGCCCATAAGACATCAACCTGGGGGACCAAAAAAACTCCCCAGTGCCCACATGCGCCCCAGCAACCCCCCAAACAGCAGGCAAATAAGGTTAACACAGCCCTTGGTAGCTTTCAGAAGAAATTTCCCATGATTTTGGCTTGTTTGTTTCTCTGGTGGAAATCGGGGATCTAAAACCTGCGGGGTCTGGTGTGCTGGGCTCCCGGGGACGTCCCCTGTCCCCGCTTCCCGAGCCCCGGCGGCTCTCCCCGGTGCAGAGCGGCCCCGGTGCCGGCAGAGGGAAGCATCCCTCCGGCCATGCCCGGCCAGGGCCCCTTGGAGCCTGGAGCCCGGCCCTGACGGGTCCCTCGGAGGATCCGGACCGGGGGGAAATGGGGGGCAGGAGCA